ACCTCCCCATATTGGTCAGGCTACTCGTTCATCTTCAAGTCCAAGTTCAGAGTTTTGATATGATGAGAGCTCTGAACTGACAGCATATTGTGATAAATCAATTTAAGCTAGACACTGCAAGACCTAAATTATACAATGAGAGAGAGCCAACAATCTGGGGCTAATATGCTTTTGTAAACACATTCAAAGTTAAGATACTTTTTCTTTCATAAACTTACATCAGATTTATTATATTGTAACATAGGTTTACAATGCTGAAAAGACTAACCTATTCCATACACACAATTTTTTTATTTTCCCAAAATTTTTAAAAATAGGGATATTTTCGTAATTATCACTTATTTCCCCATCTATATTTTACCTCAAACCAAACATAGACTTTATAAATCTTATCTAATTTATCCGGTAATTTTTTTTTCAACCAAACAACTTTTTTTACATTTTCCTACTAAACTCACTTTCCCACCATTTCTCTATCAATTACATTATGGTAACTTAGCAGCAACCTGATCAGAATCAATGTATACAAATGAATAAGAAGCCGTTTAGAACAATATAATAACAACCTATTTTTGTTCATAAACTTAAGATTTCTCCGGGTATATACGCGGACCTCTGGTTCACCTCATATCTAATAAGTTATCGTGTTATTACAGATCACGATCATCTTCATTTTTTTTTTTTAAAAATAAACTGCAGAGAAACCCAATCCTTAAAAATCATAGAATCTATTTGGATGAATTTTTTGTTTTCTCTAAAGTTTTTTTTTTTAATATAATAAAATTCTTCTCGTTACACGAGTGGTTAGATGTTCATTTAAAAAAAAAAAGTTACAAAAAAGTAAAAAATATATATATTTTTTTTGAAATTAAAACTTCTTCTAAAAAAAGTTTAAAGCTAAATAGTTTTTTTTTAAATTCAAAATTTATTCCAACCCCAACGTCAACAAATCTCACCTCCTCGCAGTCACCTCCTCCACCGCCTTCTCCTCCATCATCATTGTTGCCGCCACCACCATCACACTCTGCCATCACTACTACCCTACTCCTCGTTGCTACCACCACCCCAATCCTAACCGCAACCAATCTCATCTCCCCAATTACTGCCGCCACCACATCTCACCATCACCACTTCTACTATTGTCACTACCATCTCAGCAGCCCTCGTACTGTCGTTATTGCCATCACCATCACCCCACCTCCAGCACCCTATCGCCCTTGCCACCATCAAATTTACTCCAATGATTCTTTTTTACATATTTTTAAAATAATTTTATAAGTAAAAAGTAATTTTTAATTTTAACATTCAAATACAAGTAGGTTTAGCTTCAAAAAAATTTCTCCTGAAATAAATAAGAAATAAAAAATCATTTTTTAATCATTTGGTAAGAAAGACATTATTCACATAAAATGTTAACTATCTTAAAAGATTAAACCAAAAAGCTTAAACTTTTTATATGAAGATGTCTGAATGATGTCACATATCCATCATGAACTCATTTTGTTGTGCGTGCATCATTTAACAATGGAAGCAACTTGTAGAAGATGGTTGTAAGAAATGAAGGTATTCCTACAATTATGATTCATACCTCCCGGAAAAAATGTATTCACTTTGTTTCCCCTTTATCTCTTCCATTTTCTTATAAAAGCAATGTGTAAAAGATAGGTGTAAAGAATGAAGTTTTATGGACTGTTTCTGAAAAGAAACAATTATTTCATATTTTCGTGCCTTAAAAAAGTTTTTCAGAAAAAAAATGTGTTTGATAACATGTTATATTTTTGTTCCGAGAATGAAAATTATACTTGATAACGCAACAAATAATATAATAAAAATAATTTCAATTAAGCATAAAATTTTTTTGGGTCATCACTTTTCTTTTCATATGGTATGCTGGTGGTGGCGGAGTGGTGGTATTGGTGGTGTGGCGGTGGCGTGGTAATGGTGATGACGGTGGCGGTTGTGGTATTGGTGGCGATGGTGGTGGTGGCAATGGTGATGGCATGGCGGTAACATATACATGATGGTGGTGGTGGTGATGACATGATGGTAGTGGTTGGTGACAGTGATGGTAGTGGGGACGCTGGTGGTGGCGTAGTGGAGGTGGAGGTGGCATAATGCTGGTGGTGACGGCAGTGGTTGCGATGATGGTCGTGGTTAGTGGCGGTGGCTGTGATGGTAGTGGTGGAGAGTGATTGAGAGGGACAAATGTTTCACATTTGTGTCCGAGAACAAAAAAGCAGAAGTTTTTTTTATTCTTTTTTCTATTTCCCAACACACAAATTAAACTGGTTCATCACAGGAACAAAAAAAATAAATCAATTTTACCAAACGAGTTTTCTATCCATTTCTATTGTCGGGAACAGAAATTAAAAAAAAAATGATTCCGAAAGGGTTATCATGCATACCCTAAACTTGGCATTCAACACATGCATGTAGGGGTGTAAAAAAAAATCAATTGAACTCAACTGAAAGTGAATTGACTCAATTTCAATTCAAAAAAAATAAAATCGAATCGATTTAAGGTTTGAATTTTTTTTAATTGGTTCAAGAATCAAGTCGTTTATCGATTCAGATTAAAAATCGACTCATATTTATTTTCATTAGTGTAAAAAATCAAATAAATTGAATCAAACCACATAATATCTATCTGAACCAGTTTAAGAACTGTTTTTTTTTTTTCAAATCGATTCAAAAACCGAAATATATATATATTTTGAAAGTCACATGTATTTTTTATTGGAGGCAATTATGTTCAAGTCAGTAACATCCACATAATGATAGGGTAAATTCTCCGAAAAGAATAATTTTACATGTACAAAAATTTAAATCCAAGACATTGCTTAAGAAACCGAAACATTTTTTAAAATCAATAAGTGAACCGAAGCGATATGTGCACACCAAAACATGCATGGACCTGAACATTTATCAGCGTATATATATAAATATAGATATCTTGTAATATATGTATTTAATTTTTAAGTAATAAAAATATTAAATATACAGCAGCGCACTTACGCAGGGGTATGACGTGGCAGCATCATAATATATTACAAGATCTAAAGAAACTATATGACATCAGATGGTAGTAATCTATGTATAAGGTCATTAAAAGCAATAGTAGAATATCCGCGCGCACACAAAAAAAATAAAAATAAATAAATAGAAAAAGGCACATATTTGCCACCTATTCATGCATGGACCTGAACTTTTATCAGTGTGTTTTTATATATATATATATATATATATATATATATATATATATATAGAGGAAGGTTACATTTACAACCTATTTTCGTTTACAATTTCTTACAACTATATTTTAACCGTTGATTTCCGTCAATCAACGGTTAAGATTTTCACAAATCAAATTTATTAATTAATTATTAATTCACAATAAATGACAACCGTTGATTGGTGAAAATCAACAGTTAAGATATGGTTGTAAGAGTTTGTAAACTATTTGGGTTGTAAATATAACCCCTCCCATATATATATATATATATATATATATATATATATATATATATATATATATATTAAGTGTGTACTCTTTTAAAAAAATAAAGATATATCTTTTTAGCAATTATAGTTATGTACTATCCGGAGTATATTTACAACTTTCCTATATACATATATATGGCGATAAGTTATATTTACAAAATACACTATGTATTATAGATATACATAATGTATTTTGCAAGAATTTGTAAATATAACCCTGCTTATATATATATATATAGGAGTGGATCTTTTGATACCAGTGTTTAATTAAAAGTTTGACATCCCTTCAAACGTCAGTTAGATAAAGGCAGATCAACAGTATTGCATATTTATAAATTAGAGTCGTTGGATTAAGACAAGATCAACTACTTGCACTTGAGGTGTCAAACTTTTTATTAGATATCAGTGTCAAATGATCATGTCCTATATATATATATATATATATATATATATATATATATATATATATATATATATATATATATAGGATCTTTTGACACCGGTGTCAAACTTTAAAATTTGATACCAAATCTTGACCGTTGATTTCCGTCAATCAACAGTTATTATTTAATTGAAATTAATAATTAATTAATAAGTTTGATTGACAGAAATCAACGGTTAGGATTTGGTGTCAAATTTCAAAGTTTGACATTGGTGTCAAAAGATCTTTTATATATATATATAGGATTTACATTTCTGCAACTGCTGTACGTGAAACAATTAAATACTTGCCATATATATATGTGAAAGCATTAAATGTGGAGAATCATAACCATACACCTGTCATTGCTGTACGTAAAACGGCTGCAGAAATGATTATATATATATATATATATATATATATATATATATAGGTTTAAAACTTTTGTTATCATAGTAGAAGTTTATTTTTTGCAGCTGACACAACACTTTAATGGGCAAAAGTTTTAAATCATATATATATATATGACAAAATCATTTCTGTAGCTGCTGCACATACATCAAGTCAGGATACGGATCTGGATCCTAAGATACGGTGTCGTATCCTGTTTTTTTTTTTTAAAATGAAAAATAGTGGGGTCCACTTTTTTGTGTCAGTTGCAGATAGCATTTTCTCTGCTGCCGCTGCCGAAAAAGTGTCCCCTATATATATATATATATATATATATATAGATATATAGATATAGATTATGTCTGTATCATGTTGTTGAAAGTATATATATATACAGGTTATGCTTGTATCATCACTATCATGTTGCTGGAAGCAAGAGTAATTTTCCTGCGCACTAAGCAATGGAGAAAGAGAGAAAGTGAGATAAGAAAAGTAAAGAAAAAACTTGTGGAGCCCGTGATTTTATTAGCTATAGTAGTTTTCGTGTAACATTATCTTTACCTTTCTCTATATATATATACACTAGTGTTACTTTAAAGAGTGGAACAAATAGAGATAGAGCCTGACAAATAGCGAATCTAAGCCTATAATTGTGGTCTAGTGCGCTACGATGCAAGCACTTGATCTCATGGAAGGAACATCTGGTGTGAGGAAAGGCGCATGGAGTAAATCAGAAGATGACCTTCTCAAAGCATGCGTCCAACTATATGGGGAGGGAAAATGGCACCTTGTTCCTCAAAGAGCTGGTGTGTTTTCTATCTTCTTCTTTTTCTCCCATTCTTTTCATTGCTTTTGGAATAGATGTAATGCAACCCTCCTTAATTGTGGAGCATCGATCGTTGCACCAGGAAAACCTAACATGTATATCTTCTTGTGTTCGGTAGGCTTGAACAGATGCCGCAAGAGTTGTAGATTGAGGTGGTTCAACTATCTTCAACCAGATATAAAGCGAGGAGAATTCAGTGAAGATGAGGTTGAATTGATGATCAGATTGCATAAGCTTCTCGGGAACAGGTATGTATATGTATCTCATAAATATGCTATTTTTAATCACGAGGTTTGACTCTAGTGAAAAGTTCTCCAATCCTCCTGGTTTACTTCAAAATCACCTATGCTTTTGTGATTTTTTTTATCACATGTGTTCCTATGATTTAAAAAAAGTCAAAAATCACATGGACGTACATATGCGATAAGAAATATACCTTTTTGCAAATTACATGGACATAATTAATAATAAAAAAAATCACAAGAACATAAGTGATTTTGGAATAAACCACAAAGATATTGGTCAACTTTTCCCTCGACTCTATTAGCAAAATGCTTACATGCCCTTAGTAAAATCTCAATGGCAACATCATGTGATCCCAGATTATGAAATCTCAATTAGTGCCACAAACTGTGAGATAGGAGGAAAACCAAAATGAAATATATGCAGTATTTCGGAATTAATAGGTTATAAGATACATAAACTATTCATTAACAAAAAAGTAAGTTTATTTGTATATCTGAAAGAAGACTAGAGAAAAATAGCTTTTTTATATTCTTATCTGCATATATATAAAATATATAATAAAGTTAAGTTCAATAAGCCTTTGATTAAACAAAAAATGTTTGGTCTATATATGTAGATGGTCACTGATTGCAGGAAGACTTCCTGGAAGAACTCCAAACGATGTGAAAAATTACTGGAACACTTGCATGCGGAGGAAAGTGAATTCTTCTCACATGAAAGACAAGAACTTAAAGCACGAGGCCCAAACCGTGATACGCCATGAAGTAATAAAGCCTCTACCTCTAACTTTCTCGAAAACATCCCCTTGGTTGCAAGGGAAATTCATTACCTCAGATCAAAGTAGTACCAAAGTTGATATAACTGAAGCAGTTGCAGTTTCATCAGGGTCCATGAATTGGTGCGAAACTTTGCTAGACAACAGGGGAGAAATTGGAGACGGGACGCTTGTGACGGACCTTTGGGATGAAGAGCTTACTTCAATAACAACCAAAGCTTGTGACTTTCAAACACAAGGTCAAACTTGGGCCGATTTTCTTCTTGACGTCAGTTTGTGGGACACTGAAATCTTAAACTTAGGAGATTAATATATAAATACATATATATATATATATATATATATATATATATATATATATATATTAGAATACGTGAAAAATATCTAATAATTATCTTGCCATATATATATATGGAATAGATTATTCTACCCATCTTTATTCTACCTACCTTTGCCTACCTCTTTTAATACCGTTAGATTATAATCTCATCCAACGGTGGAGATTTATAGTATAAAATAAATCATTTTACCCCTTTCTTTCTCCTTCCTGCCTCTCACCCTTTCTCTCTATCGACCAAGACAGAGACAACTCATTGTATTGTTGAATTGTATTCAGCGTTTCTCTTTTAAATAATTAATAACATATGATGATGCAACTCATTGTATTGTAGAATTGTAGCAATTGAATCAACAAAACAAAAAAATCGATTAATGAATTTGTTGTGTCCGCAACTCATTGTATTGTAGATAAATCAATCATGGAGGTCTCCACCCTCATCCGCACCATTCAACAATTTAGAGATCCCTGATCCAAAAATTTCCCTTTTTATTTATTGGATTTTCTTCATTTTGTTGGTGATTGGAATTATGGGGACAAGGCTGCACCTATCTCTGCCTAAAACCTGGTTTAGATGTTTAGAATTACTGATTTTACAGTAAAACGAAAGAAGAAGAGAGAGAAAGGGTGTAGGAGGCACTGAGAAGAAAGAAAAGGAAAAAATAGTTTATTTTATTACACAAATCTCTACCGTTAGATGAGATTATAATCTAATGATATTAAAAAGGATAGGCAAAGGTAGGTAGAACAACATATCCCATATATATATAGGTGAACTAATGCAAATACAGTTTGAACCAACACCCTCTTATGAGAGGCTGTCACATAGCACCTTGCCCTCCCTGACAGCATCACATGTTGCAAGCAATAAGTTAATATATAGTTCAAGCATTAGCTTATTTTTATGGGACACCGACCATCTTGCTGTTATTGGCAAAAATTTACCGAAATGCTATACTTCCTAAAAAATTTGCCGAAAAGCCACATCACCAAAAATGTTACAACACTTGGGGTTTTACGTTTGGACACGTGGCAACAAGTTTGAGACCACTAAACTCGCTGAACAGGCTAGCATTTTAACACCAGTTAACGTGTCAAGCCTAAGTCGCTTTACTGTACAACGAGTTACGTGGCATTTTGACATGTGGAGAGAGAGGACTAAAGTCGTTGGATAGTGCGGAGACTATAGTGCAACATGACATATGCATATGGAGTGTCCATGGAAAAACGATAAAGTCGATTTAATATCCAATAAATGCTGATTTATTTTTTGTTTTCTTTTTGAAAAATGGGTTAGGATATGGTTACCAAATAATGTTACTACCACTGTCACTATCATATCTTAACTGTTGATTTTCGTCAATCAACGGTTATTATTTCCACAAGTTAAATTAATTAATTAATTATTAATTCGCAATAACTGTTGACGAAAATCAATGGTTAAGATATGGTAGTGACATTGGTAGTAACATTATTTGGTAGAAACAATATACTATCCCTTGAAAAATATAACAAACAATAAAGACGATTTGCTTTTCCAAGTAGCATATGCAATCATGGAAAACATTTAACAATTGCATGATTCAAACCTACCGTTATCAACCTAATGTTTTAATCATTCTGCAATAAATCAAAATTAAAAATCAATAAAATTTTATCAAATATTTCCCTTAAAGTTATATTAGCCCAATGGATTAATCAATTCTGCAAAAAGAAAATTGGACATTAAATTAAAAATCAATACAATTACATCAAATATTTCCCTTAAAACAAATCGTCTTTATTGTTTATTATATTTCCAAAAATAAAATAAAAAATAAAAAATATTTATTGGACACTAAATTTGCAGAATTGATTAATTCATTGGACTGAAAACGGTAGGTTTGAATCATGCAACTGTTACATATTTTTCATGCTTGCGTATGCTAATTGGAAGAGCAAATCGTCTTTATGGTTTATTATATTTTCCAAAAACAAAACAAAAAACAAATCAACATTTATTGGATATTAAATCGTCTTTATCGTTTTCCCATGGACACTCCATATGCATATGCCATGTTGTACTATAATCTCTACACTGTCCAGCGACTTTAGTCTTCTCTCTCTCCACATGTCAAAATCTCACGCACTGCGTTGTACAGTAAAGCAACTTAGGCCTGACACGTTGACTTGTTTAAAAAATGCTGGACTGTTCAGCGAGTTTACGTGGCCTCAAACTCACTACCACGTGTCCAAACGTAAAACTCTAGGTGTTGTAGCGTTTTTGGTGACGTGGCATTTTGATAATTTTTTTAGGAAGCTTGGCATTCCGATAAATTTTTGCCAATAACATGGCAAAATGGTTGTTGTCCCTATTTTTACAGGTTTCATTAAATAGTCTTTGTGTGCGTTCGTCTCACCACATATATTCAAACTTGTGACATAAATATAATCTTTTGACCTAGTTGTGTGACATATATTTCTTTATGGAATTTTTGTGTGATTCTTTTTCCATGTGAAAGTTGGAGTTTTAAGCTTTTCATCCATATCTAGATAACTTCTTGGAATTTGAATAATGGGTTTAGTGTGTGTTATTCAAAAGGACACAAGTTGTGTCCTTTTAGTGATTTACACAGAGTACGACCGTGTAATTCTGAAAAGTTACTTTTTTTTTAATGAGGGGCAAGATTTAGTCGATTAAGTTGAAGATTTAATCGATTAAACCTCCCATACATAAGGTTGTTCTTCTGATAAAGAGGAAGATTTAGTCGATTAAGTTGAAGATTTAATCGATTAAATCTTCATTTGACAATTTAATCGATTAAATATTCAATTTAATCGATTAAAGAGGGACAAATTGGTAGATAATTTTCAATAAGGGGCAAAATGATTATTAAATAATTAATGAGGGGCAAAAGAGTAAAAAAGCCCAAGCTTGTGTCTTTCAAAAGGATACTTCTTTTTCCCTTGAATAATATAAGATAAATGATATAAATGTGAGATAAATGATATTAACTCAAATTGAGCAAACATTGAGAAAGATTATCTCAAAATCAAAGTAACAATTTATGTTGGTAGGTGAACATGATATAGGTAGTACGCTTTTAACAATATAAATATTCCCATTTTATACTAAATACTTTAGAAAGCTAAATAATAACTCAAATCATATAATAAACTACCTGAATTAGCAAATAAATTTAGAAAACTAAATATTAACTCAAAACCATATCACTAATCTATCTTCAACCAACAACATAAGGCAAACAAGAGAGCAAATAATACAGAGGATTTCTTGAAGGACAAGAGTGTAGTAGCAACAGTAGTAATAATAGTAAATCAAGAGAAGGCTCAAGTATGAATGACATTGCAAACCTTAATTACTCAGATAAGGTTATATATATTTTTTTACTCAATTTTAGTAATTATACAATGATAAAGTGATCAACTCAGGTGTATAAGCTGTGTGCAGAACAACCATATTCAATCAAAGATTAAACCCACTTATGTTAACAAATTGAGTATTTACCAAAGTTAAGTACCTGTGTTTAAGGAGAACCATCAAAAAGTTTGGAGGACTAATTTAAAACAAAACCCTCTGTTTGCTCTGCATTATAGAAAAATATGAAATAAAATTAGTGGCTTTAAAGTTAAGAAATTTCGTTGCATTTCTTACGAACAATCACTACAAGAAAACAGGAAAATAACGACTGTTATATTGAGGCGGTTACAGAAAAACCGCGTCCAAATGATATACACAGGCGATTTTGGAGGCGGCTTACTTTTATAAAGGTGGTTTGACAAAAACCACCATAAAATAGTAATTAAAGGCTGTTATTTCAACCGCCCTTAAATAAAATTTGGAGGCGGACATTAAATAACCGCCTCTATATCACTAAACCCGAGGCGGTTCTGTAGGCGGTTATACATTCCGCCTAAAATTGAAATTCAATCTGAGGCTGTAAAATAAAGACCGCCTCCAATTGTTTATCACATGCGGTTGGAAAAAACGCCCCCTATATCATTTCGAGGCGGTTTGTTTATTAAGAGCCTCTAAATATAAATTTTGGGCGGTTTTATAGCCGCCTACAAGATCAATACTGAGGTAGTTTATTGTGTATTAGTTCGCACACATTGATAATTGACAACAATTGAAACAAGCATCACCCTGGCTTAGAAATTAGAGTCTATGATGATGTCTTTATGAACATATTCAACTTAATCGGATTAATCGAATAATTCATTTCTTGATAGAGAAATGAAAAATAAAAAATTCGCACGATTATATATATAGAGTTACTCTCTATAACCTAAGTTGGTATTTACAAATGGTTGGTCGATATATAAAACAAGTGATTATTTAATCTAATTATCTAACTTGTTTCTTCTATGTTAGTGTTGAACTTCGTAGCACATTATAAAAGGGTTTCTAGTCATATAGTGGTACATGCTACATGCACTTTTTAGGCTTCACTGAACTTTGTGCATGCTAGTAACAAGACTATACTTAACAAGAATTATTGGGTTGTTATTCAGTAATGTGTGTACGAGATATGTATGAGATTGTGTGTGTATGAGATAATGTTAGGACTTCAATGTGAGATAATGTTATGCATCTTCATCTAGCTAGCATGTAGGTAGCAACTTATCTGGTTCGGTGCACTCCATAAAGCCATATAGTTGCCGAGTCAGAATCAAAGGGTCCATCAAATGATATTAGGTAATGCTTACGGCAAGCATTAAGGTTGAGCTGTCTAGTCTTCTGGGTGTCAATATCTAATTTATGAAGATAATTGTCATCCCTTATGTTGCAATACTCATCATCACGTTTACAAATAGTTGGCGATTCTATTCTCATGGCAAATAATGGTTGGTGCAATATAAGCATTTGAATTATTTAATGTTTGAATATGATCAAATAGGGGAATGAACAATCAAAGCAAATATCATACTGTGAGAGTTTAAAACTAATAATAGAAATAAGAAGAAGGTGATTAAAAGTAAAAAGAAACAAATGTATTGAATGTTTCGTAAAAAAAAAGAAATTAATAATGCAAATGTATTAAAGTGATTATAAGTACTATTAATGTAAAAAGATATGAATAATATTATAATTTTTTAAAATAATTTTATAATAAAAATATTTGATAATTAATTAGCATTTTAAAAAATGAAAAGTTTAAATTAAAAATAATATTATTTTATACACAAAAAGTAAGGTAATAAATATTGTAAATAAAAATAATGATAGTTAATATTTTAATTAAATGAAATTCTTATTAAAAACATACATTAAAAAAAGATGTATGAAGCAGGGTTCGAACCCTTCCTTCAATGATGCATTTACTTAAAGTAAATCGAGTTGACTATGTAAACATTGTAACAAAACATTGCGTTCTTATTAATTTATTTGTATCTTTAATTATCTCCCTCCCAAATTTTCATAGAATTTTCGCCTTTCCCACGTTTTGGTTTAACATCAATAATTTAGGGCATTCAGTTTCCGTCTCTTTGTCAAAAGCTAAGTAAGAAAACATTCGCCCTGCGCCCTCTTCAAGAACCGTTTGACACATCGATTTTTCTTCTGGTAATCTTTTGAACTCAACTCCGCGAATCATTTTTTTTGTTCTTTCTTTGAATCTTGATTCTGTGTGGTGCAGTGCACGGGACAGGCAGAGTGTTCTTGTAATCTTCTGTTGTGTTGGAGGAAGCTTGAGCCCGGGGTGAGTGTTCTTTTTTTGTTCTTTTCACTTTTTACTTTTAATTTTGTCAAGGTCAGTGTTTGTGACATTATTTCTGCTTTTTCTTTCATTTCATTTGTGTTTTCCATTTGTGCAACCCGAGTTTGTATCAATCACGTGTCAAGGACAAATCATTTCCCATTTTCTTTCTCAACCCGAGTTTGTATCAAATAGGGTCATTAGGCCTTTTCTCCTCAATGTAACATCTTCATCGATTTAGGGTTTAGGGCACCATCCTTGTCTTCATTGGTGCATCATCATATTTCAATCTTACATCAATGGAGAGGTTACAGGCTCATAGACATGTGCTAACGAATTGCCCCCTCGTTGAATGTTACGTCCAGTAAGTATGCCTGATTATTTTTTTCTTAAGTAGATTATTGTGATTAATGTTTTAATTACTTCACTTATTTAGGGAATTTCGGACAGACCTCGAGAGACAACTAAGAAGGACTAATCGAAGTCAAGCTGAGATAGATAAACATGTTCATAGAGAGTTTGTTGATTGGCTCTCTAAACGTGTGGGTATTTTATCGCACAATTAAACTCAAGAGTATTCAGCCTGTTTGAGTTAAATTGCATGGTGCAAAAATTATTTCTTTTGTGTTATAGATTCCTTTAGATTTTGAAAATATTAGAGAATCAGACAAAGGTATCATGCTTTCCCCTGCTAAAGGTCCACTTTTTCAAGTAAGAAGGTTCACTGCATATAATGTGAATGGCTACAAATTCCGAACATTGGATCGAGACAACAACCTGAAAACCCAAAATAGTGGGGTTTTTGGAACGTTTGACACTAGATCTTATTCAAGTAATAGAGATGGACAAATGAAATGTGGAGGAGTTCCGTACTATGGGAAATTGTTTGACATCGTTGAGATTAACTACAATGGCTTGTTCTATGTGCATTTGTTTAAATGTCAATGGGCTGATACCACTACTCATAGAGGGCCCAAAAAAGATAAGTTGGGTTTTACCCAAATTAACTTTTCAAAATTGATACATAAGGGTGACAAAGAGGATGATGAGCCGTATATTAAAGTTTCTGAAGCTCAAATGGTTTTTTATGTTGATGATGAGAAAGAAAAGGGTTGGAGTATACCTGTCCATGTAAAGCCTCGAGACTTGTATGATATGGGCGAAGATATCATGACAAGCACTGACCTATTTCCATCACAAAACTTGGACCAAATTTTAGATGATGACACAATAGCTCTACAATTATCAAGATCTGCCACAGATGATGACACTCCAAATTTGGTACCTAATCCAAATGAGGATGAAGATATGGACATATGAGTTTTTTGTTGAAGGTTCATGTTATGTGTTTCATTATAGGGTTGTGTCATGTGTTTTTATAGGGTTGTGTCACAATTAACTTTTTGTATGGTGTGTTGTGTATGGTTTACAGCCCCAAATCAATTTTTTTTTTAATGTTGTTGTTGCTAAAGACTTATTATTTGCAATTCAGTTTCTTAATGCTTAAATATTATGAACTTTTTCTAGTACATATTGTGTAGTGGATGATTTTTAAATACGTAAATGCATGCTACCATGTTATATTTGGGACAAAATGATTAGGTCAAATGTCGCGCACAAAGAGATTTACAGCAAGAAAAAGTTCAACAACATCATCTACTCCTCCAATCCTAGAAACTCAAAATGTGCAGTCCAATGTTGCCATACAAAATGTAGGCCAAGAAGATCAAGTTCATTCTCCATCCCAAGAACCAGCTGATGTACCACTTGAAGTACAACGGGTTAAGAGAGCATGCAACAAATACTGAGTTATTGAAGTTATAGGTATACCATTTAATATCTATATTGAGTTTTAATTTTTTTATGTATGCATGTGTCATTATTTTTATACTAACAAAAAACACTAAATATTATGTTATAGATGATAGAGGAAGGAAATCCGAGGAAAGATTGAGGATCAAGGATGTTTTGGTACTGCCGGAACACAAGAAGGTTTTGGTACAATGGTCTGAAGATGGTCAACCTGTTGGGGATGGTTCTTCACTTTTGAATGGCTTTTTGGGACATCTTGCATGTAACACTAATCTATTCCCCATAAGTTATCCGAGGTGCCTGATGTACTTCCCTGCTATAAGATTGATGTTTGGGAAAACACAACTAAGGTATATATGTTCTTTTAATTTACTTCAGTGACCTTAAGTTATTATGAATTGTTTCTGAATATTTTTCACATTGCAGAAAAAGTTTTACCTTTGCACTGATGACGAGCACGACTATTGTATGGGAAATATAGGTAAAAAGTGGAAGGATAATAGGCACAGGTTGTGTGTTGATTTTATTGACAAAAACAAAACTTTTGAGGAAAACCTAGAAAATTATCCAGACGGTACGACTAGAGAGCAGTGGGCTGGTTTTTTGACTTATAAGACAAGTGAGAAAGCACAGGTAATGAGATAAGCATGCATATATTTTCTTAATGTGGTTTACTTGACTACCTGTAATTATGTTTTGTGGGACAATACAGAAATATAGTGAGATTAATACAAGAAATCGATCAAAACAGACTATAATGCATACACTTGGTGCTAAATCTATTGCAAAGATAAAACACGAATTGGTATTTCCGTAAATATTGTCATTGCTTTAGGAAAAAAACTTGGACTCAAAATTAGTAGGGGGGAGATGTATACCATTGGGCATAAGAAAAAAGATGGCAGCTTTGTTAGTGAGGAAGCTAGATCAAAGAATGTAAGTATGTTCTTTGTGAATAAGGAAGCTATACATCCCTGTTGAATTAATATTTAATTTTGTTTTGTAGGACGAATTACTAGAAGAAATTCAAGATGTATCTTATGAAGATGAAGCCTTTGAACTTGTGTTTGGGAAGGAGCACTCAGGTCGCGTTAGAGGAATGGGGTTTGGGGTGGTTGCATCTTAAATGCGTAAGCGCAAAGCCTGTGCAGAATCATCTTCTAACAGTGGTCCTAGTCAAGCTGAGTATAATTCCCTTAAAGAAGAGCATAATTCCCTTAAAGAAGAGCTTGGCACTTTAAAAGGACAGATGGCTGCAATTATACAGCATATGGGTGGTACACTACCCCCTAATTTGGTATGTGTGTATATATATTTTTCCTTGAGTGGCATTTGAATTTTGAATAAAAAAAAAGTGTCAGGTGCATTTGTTTGATTTGATTTAGCCTGCTGTTTATGATTTTGCCTTTGGGTTATTGGTAAATTCAGTAAATTACAAGTGTAAGGTGCAATTGTTTGATAAGGAAGTAATTGCCCTGCTGTTTATGATTTTGCCTTTAGATTATTGCTAAATTCAGTAAATGTGATACGGATCTTTTTGGATTGGGTTTATTTAAATCATCAATTAGCTTGGTTTGATTTTCTGGTCGAGTGTAAGGTGCATTTGTTTAGGTTGCATAATACTGAATTTTGTACTTCAATTTTGAACTTGTGCTGTAATTATTGTGATAGGTAATTAGGATTTTTAGTCTCAGGAGCTCACCTGCTCTGTTATTGTGCCCACATTTATTTGTGCTATTTGGTTTCAGAGAGTGATGTTGATAGTACCACCTATTGATGACACTATTGAAGGTTGAATAGTGTCTAGAATAGTGCCTACAACCGCATCTGATTAGAATTCCTAAATCAGTGATTTTCTGGTCAAGTGATGTTGATGGCACTATTGAAGGTTAAATAGTGCCTAGAATGTGACATTCGTATTAATTTGGTTCATGCCTGTAATGAATTCATTTCTATGAAGATTATCATTATTGTTTGTTTTTTTTTCAAATGTAACAGGATGCAGATATAGGCTCCCCAGGAATAAGAAGATCATCTAATGCGAGTCATAATCCCGCAAGCGGTTCATCACCTATTGTTCCACCACAACCTTGAATATTTTATGTTGTCATTCATTTTGGATTTTGCTTTATGTTGTCATAATTATGGAGTTTAAGGTTTGAGAGATTGTAATGAATAATTATAATGTCTGAGGGGCTCTCTATCAGGCTGTTTTGAGGATTATCCTTCGCTATCTATTTTAGCTCTTGGAGACTTTTTCTCTTTTCGATTTTTGTAGACTGGAAGCATAACTCACCTTGTGGTGAGGGGTGTGTCTAAATATTATACTATGTTAAATATTTTGTTTTATAATTTCTCTTATTAGCTGATCAATATGCTATTTTTTATTCTTGTGATGAAATTATACCCTATTGTGCTTTTAATTAATTCTGGAAGAGTGTATGGATATGAATTCCTAAATGCAACAATTTAATTATTAAATCATTACATAAAAATTAAATAAATACAAAATGTATTTTGGAGGCTAACAAATAGCTTTATTATTAGTCAAATTGAAATGAATATTTATAAAAAAAATAAATATTTAAATAAATATTGTTATTAAAAAAATATTGCAATTAGTATTTTTTTTTTTTGGTAACATTGCAATTAGTATTTAAACAAATAAAAAATTGAAATAAATGCTGTTTATTAAAAAAATTAAATAAATATATTTATATTTTATAAATCACATATCGCCTCAGAATGGCATTTGAAGGCGGTTGATTCAATTTCTTAGCACACACACAAAAACCGCCTCAGTATGACATTATGAGGCCGAATAGAAAACTGCTACAAATAGCGCCTACAAATGTTACCTAGAGGCGGTTTGTACAACCGACCGAGATTAAAATTTTAAGGCGGCTACCTAATCGCCAAAGACTGAAATTTATACGCACTTATCTAAACTGCCTAAAATTGGTATTTCTAAGCGGTTTACAAAACCGCCTCTGATTGTATGCTTTAGGTGGGTATATAAACCGCTGGAAAGTATCTTTTGGAGTCGTTTAAAAAAACCGACAGATAATGTACAACACAGGCGGTTAGAAAAACCGCTGCGAAGTATGCTGTTCAGGCGGGTGACTAAACCGCGTCATATTATAGTTTAGAGGCAGATATTCCAGCGGTTGTTTTAAACCGCTTCAGATTGTCTCGCGACAGAGTTAAAGGCGGCGGTCTACAGACCGCGTTAAAGCTTCTATTGGAGGCGGTTTGAACCGCCTAAAAAAGTAAAAACAACCGCCTGGAATTGACCCTTTTTTTGTAGTGAATAATAATTAAGAATAGCTCCTTCTACGTAAATTTCCATGCTGCATGAGATACAATAAAATCATATTAGTAATATAATTAGAAAAGAAGAAAAGTCAAGAAAGTGATTTCAAAGAGCAAGAATTTTTTTATTATCAATCACGTCTTAAAAAAATGGGTGAAATAATCATAATTTCTCTTGTTGACATAATGTTGAAAAAATAAGTTCACAAACCCACAACCCACATCGAAACCAGTAAATTGTGCTAAAGATAACCATAATCATTATTTTCCAATATAAATATCCAAACTGTTATTTCAGAAGCCGAAAAAAAGAATATCACGAGAATCAAAAACCTGCTTGAATATTGAACTCTCTAAGCTACTGTAACCATCAACTGAGAAGCAAAATTCAATGCCATTTACTGAGACAAATTAAGGTTGAATCAGTGACTGAAGAATGTTCAAGTTTCGGATCCAAAACTAAGCGGATAACAAATGACACTGCTTGGATCCGAATCCGAATGTGAAACACGTAAAGGTTGGAAGAAGAATCAAATCAAGTAGCTATAGTTCTGGGAATTCGAAACCCTAGAAAGAGGAGAAAGAGAATAAAACCCTAGAGAGAGGCTCGAAGAGAAGAGTTCCAAGGCATGAATCAAATCCACTTCTTCTTCCTCGTCGTCCTCTTTCTTCTCTTCAGCTTTCACTTCTCCATCTCGCATTGCTTTCTACTTCGGCATTCTTCTCCGTATCTCCGAGATATAAAAATTTGTTCATATCATAAAAATATGGGAGTTGCTACATTTTTATTTGTTTTTTATTATTATTTCTTATTATATCCGTACATTCTTTAAATGTGAGATTAGTATATTCGAGCACAAAATAATACGATTATGTATTTTTATAAGTGGACCTTTTCATAGTTCAAACATTTTCCCTCCTTCAAGATTGCAGTACCACTACTTTTTGGTTGGAGATATTTCGATCGATTTATCATTTCGCGACTAGTTCGATTCGGGACGTGTGTCCTGAGATTAAGACTTTAAATACTTCCGAAAAATGATACTGAAGAGGATGAAACACATGATTTCACTTCACCTGCTCAGTTCCCTGACGCCAACTCAGCTACCACTACATGCCAATTTGTTTAGGAATCTTAACTTGTGTGTTTGTGTGTGAATGTGAGATTAATATTTTCAAGCATAAAATGGTGTGTGTAAAATGCCAATTAGTTGTACACAAAGTGTGGGTGAGAGTTAAGTTTACATCAATTTTGTTAAGGGAAGCGAACCCTTAAACGATCTCTCAGTTAACATAACAGAGAAAACAGAGAGAAGAACAAGGAAAAGGAACGAAAACAAACTTGTATATTTCTCAATGAATTGTATCAGTTACAATAGTTGTCCTTTTATTACAAAGACAGCAAACTATGAATGTCCTAACCCCTGCCATGTCACATTTACAATAGCTATATCAGTGACTACAATATTGTAGATACAAGGTATGTTTTGATGATAACAAAGTGGCAACAACAAAAAAAGAAGAGCTTTGATCAAGAGCAAAGAGCATCAACCAATGTGGATATTGAAGATGTATGATGTAGCCACACAAGAAGAGTGATGTCATATCAAAGTGGCAAGATCATTGGATAAAGAGCAACAAGGAATAATTAGAAAAACTTTGAATATTGAAGAATCAAAGTGATGATATGGCTGCCACGATGATACTATTGATGATTCCACGTCAGCATAGTTTTGATGATAACAAACAAGTCAAATAAGATGGCTTGAAGGTGAAGCAACATCCAAAAGAAATCAAATCAAGAAACATGCAAGCCAAGCATCAAGTCAAGTCCAAGATCTCAATGGTATATTTATCTAGGACTTAGGAAAATGTGTAAAGGTGTATAGTATTATAGCATTGCATAAGCTCAAGTCATACACATCATCAAATGCATAAATGAATCTTGAACTAACAAGTCAAAAATGCATCTAAAGGTTTTTCAAATGACTTAAGCAAAAAAAAAAAGGAATCATGGCATTATAACAGTTACATATTCATGGCCTTATACATCCGTTAAGAAAAGTCAAATCAAGTGGTTTAAATCGTTCATAATTGGTTTGGAAAGAGTACTTACATAAAATATACTTTTCTAGTTAATTTCCATAACCAATCATGTGCTTTACAAGTCATAAAAACCATATTGAAAGAAAGGAATTTTCGAAAATGTGTTAAAAGGTCACTGCCATGAAATATCCGGATATCTGACCAAGAATATCCGGATATCAATCTTCGGATATCTGATTCTGAATATCCGGATATCACATATCCGGATACGTGCGCGATGAATATCCGGATATCTACTGTTTAAACGGCTATAATCACATATCCGGATATGTGTTCGATAAATATCCGGATATCTACTGTTTTAAACGGCTATAAACGGCTAGTTTTCGAATTGGGTGCCTATATAAACCCCCCTAACATCTCAAATACACACAATTCGGTCATTGATCATTTACCAAGTCTTTATCACTCATTCTAGCTTGCTTTTGCTCACATATCACTCATTTTGATCATTGCATAGACTTGAGCTTATCTTTTTTGTTAGGCTATACACCTACTAGTTCTTCAATTTGTAATATCTGTACTTTGAGAGTACATATCCAGTCTTTATCACCTTCATCTTACTTCTTGAATCAAAAGGGGAGTGAACCCTTGTGTTGGTCTGCCAAGAGACAGAAGTCTTGGAAAGGGGAATGAACCCTTGTTAGTCTGCCAAGAGACAGAAGTCTTGGAAAGGGGAGTGAACCCTTGTTAGTCTACCAAGAGACA